CCCGGAATTGTGGGAGCGGAGCCGCGGGGGGGGCCGGGAATTCTGGGAATGTCGGGATTTCTGGGAATTTTGGGAATCCCGTGGCGGGGGGAGGGGCACGGACCGTGGCGGGGGGAGGGGCTGCGGCTCTGGCGGCTGTACTGACGCTCCCACTCCTCGCGCTCCTTCTCCCGGCGCTCCCGCTCCCTGCGCCGGGAAAAACACGGGAATAACGGGATCGGGAAAAATGGGAATAACGGGATCGGGAACGGGAAAAACGGGATCGGGAACAGGGAATAACGGGATGGGAAAAACACGGGAATAACGGGATGGGGAAAAACACGGGAATAACGGGATCGGGATGGGAATAAACGGGATTGGGACGGGAATAAATGGGATTGGGAATGGCAAAAACGGGATCGGGGAGGGGAAAAATGGGATTGGGATGGGAAAATCGGGATCAGGAACAGGGAAATCGGGATCAGGGCAGGGAAATCGGGATCAGGGCGGGAAAATCGGGATCAGGGATGGGAAATCGGGATCAGGGATGGGAAATCGGGATCAGGAACAGGGAAATCGGGATCAGGGCAGGGAAATCAGGATCAGGAACAGGGAAATCGGGATCAGGGCAGGGAAATCAGGATCAGGAACAGGGAAATCGGGATCAGGGATGGGAAATCGGGATCAGGGATGGGAAATCGGGATCAGGGATGGGAAATCGGGATCAGGGATGGGAAATCAGGATCAGGGATGGGAAATCAGGATCGGGACGGGAATTTGGGATGGGGACGGGAATTTGGGAATTACTTCATGCGGATTTTCCGGGCCATGGCGCGGAGCTCGTCCTCCCGCTCCTGGGAAGGAGAAATTCCCGTCAGATCCCGGGGATTCCCGGGAATTCCGGCTCCGGCCCACCCGGTCCCGGCCCTTTTGATCCTGGTTTTTATCCCAATTAAAGGTTTTTATCCCAATTAAATCCGGATTTTATCCCAATTAAATCCCATTTTATCCCAATTAAATCCTGATTTTATCCCAATTAAATCCCAATTTTATCCCAATTAAATCCCATTTTTATCCCAATTAAATCCGGATTTTATCCCAATTAAATCCCAATTTTATCCCAATTAAATCCGGATTTTATCCCAATTAAATCCCATTTTTATCCCAATTAAATCCCATTTTTATCCCAATTAAATCCGGATTTTATCCCAATTAAATCCTGATTTTATCCTAATTAAATCCCATTTTTATCCCAATTAAATCCGGATTTTATCCCAATTAAATCCCATTTTTATCCCAATTAAATCCTGATTTTATCCCAATTAAATCCTGATTTTATCCCAATTAAATCCCGGTTTTATCCCAATTAAATCCCACTTTTATCCCAATTAAATCCTGATTTTATCCCAATTAAATCCCATTTTTATCCCAATTAAATCCGGATTTTATCCCAATTAAATCCCAAATAATTCCTGGTTTTATCCCAATTTTTATCCCGGTTTTTCCCTAGATCCAATCCCGATCCAATCCCAGTTTTTATCCCGATCCAGTCCCGGTTTTTATCCCGATCCAGTTCCGGTTTTTATCCCAATCCAGTCCTGGTTTTTATCCCAATCCAATCCGGTTTTTATCCCAATCCAGTTCTGGTTTTTCCCAGCTCCAATCCCATTTCTATCCCGGTTTTTATCCCATTTTTATCCCAGTTTTTCCCAGCTCCAATCCTGGTTTTTATCCCATTTTCATCCTGGATCCAATCCCGGTTTTATCCCGTTTCTATCCCAGTTTTTTATCCCATTTTTAATCCCATTTTTATCCTCTTTCTATCCTGATTTTTATCCCATTTTTAATCCCATTTTTTGCTGTTTTTATCCCACTTTCAATCCTGTTTTTTCCCATTTTTATCCCGGTTTTTAAACCTGGTTTTTATTCCATTTTTTCCCTGGATCCAATCCTGTTTTTTCCCACTTTTTCCCCATTTTTATCCCACTTTTTCCCGTTTTTATCCCGTTTTTTCCCATTTTTTCCCATTTTTTCCCATTTTTTCCCGTTTTTTTCCCGTTTTTTCCCGTTTTCACCCCATTTTTCCCCACCTGTCTCTCGTGCTCCTGCTGCAGCAGCTTCTCCTGCGCTGCCTTCTTGTCAGCCCGGACTGCCAAGGCAGCGGGAATTCCGGGATCGGGGGGAATTCCGGGAATTCCGGGGGGATTGGGGGGGAATTCCGGGATTTGGGAAGAATTCTGAGGGATTTGGGGAATTCTGCAGGGGATTTTTGGGAATTCTGGGGGGGATTTTTGGGAATTCTGGGGGGATTTGGGAATGCCAGGTTGATCTGGGGGGGAATTCCGGGGAGATTTGGAGAATTTTGGGGGGGATTTGGGGGAATTTTTGGGAATTCTGGGGGGATTCGGGAATGCCAGGGGGATTCGGGAGGGAATTCCGGAGGATTTGGGGGAATTCTTGGGGAATTTTGGGAATCCCAGGGGGATTTGAGGGGATTTTTGGGAATTCTTGGGGGGTTTTGGGAATCCCAGGGGGATTTTGGGGGAGGGGATTTTTGGGAATTCTGGGGGATTTGGGGGAATCCCAGAGGGATTTTTGGGGGAATTCTGGGAATTCCAAGGTTGGATTTTCTGGGAATTCCCGGAGATTTTGGGGGAATCCCGGAGGTTCTGAGGGATTTGGGAGTTCCCAGGGACCCAGAGCGGATTTTGGGGGGGATTTTGGGGAATTTCCGGCGATTCCCGAAGGAATTCCTTCGGGACGATCCGAAGGGGCTTCGAGGGAGTCGCGGGCCGGGGATTTCGGGGCGGATTCCCGGGGATTTGGGGGAATTTTGGGAATTCTCACACTGCCTGTTGAGAGCTTTCTGCATCCGCAGCCGGAGCTTCTCCTGCGGCGTCAGCTTGGGCTGCAAAAATCGGGAATTTGGGTCAGGAAAAGGGGCCGGGATGGGGAAGGGGAAGCCCGGGAAACCCCCCCGGAGCCGCTCCCGACCATCCCGACCCCGCCCGGGAACTGGGGGCGCGGAAAGTTCCGGAAGGGAGGGAAAAAAGGGGGAAATCCTGGGGAAAAAAAAGGTGGGAAGTTTGGGGAGTGTGGGGGGAAAAGTGGGAAAAATCCGGGGGAAACCCCAGGGAAACCTGGGAGAATCCAAGGAAAATTGGGAAAATCTGGGAAAATCTAAAAAAATACTGGGAAAATCTGGGAAAAACGTGGGGAAAATGGGAAAATCTGGGAAAAAACGTGGGGAAAATGGGAAAATCTGGGAAAAAACGTGGGAGAAATGGGAAAATCTGGGGAAAAACGTGGGAGAAATGAGAAAATCTGGGAAAAAAACGTGGGGAAAATGGGAAAATCTGGGAAAAAACGTGGGGAAAATGGGAAAATCTGGGAAAAAACGTGGGAAAAATGAGAAAATCTGGGAAAAATGGAGAAGTTTAAAAAGTTTGGGAAAATCTGGGAGATTGAAAGAAAATCCTGGAAAATGTGGGGAAAATCTGGGAAAATCCAGGAAAAAAATCTAAAAAAATCTGGGGAAAAAAACCCCAGGAAAATGCAGGAAAATTTGGGAAAAATCCAGGGAAATCTAAGAAAATCCAGGGAAAAATCAGAAAAATCTAAAAAAATACAAGGAAAATTTGGGAATAAACCTGGGAAAATCCAGGGAAATGTGGGAAAATCCAGGGAAATCTAAAAAAAATTCTGGGGAAAATCAAAAAAGATTTGGGAATAAACCTGGGAAAATTCAGGAAAATACAAAAAATTCCAGGAAAAATCAAAAAAAAATTGGGGGAAAATTTGGGAAATTGTGGGAAAATCGAAAAAAAATGCAGGGAAAATCCAAGAAAAATTGGGAAAATTTGGGAAAATCTAAAAAAATGCAGGGAAAAATTGGGAAAAATTGGGAAAACGCAGGAAAAGGGGCCCTCCAGAGCCGATTTCCCCCCCAAATCCCAGGGAAATCCCAGGGAAATCCCAGGGAATGCCGGGAATTCCCCCCCTCCGAGCGCCCCCGGGATCTCTGGGATTCCCTGGATCCGTGATCCCAAACTCTGATCCCAAACTCGGCAGGAATTCCGTTCAGAACAAGGGGAAGTTCCAATTCTTACTGACTTTGGCAGCTCCGGAATCTTTACCCGCGGCAGCGTCGGCCCTGGGGGAAAAACGGGAATTTGGGGGGAATTGGGGGGAAATTGGGGGGGAATTATTGGGAAAAATTGGGGGGAATTATTGGGAAAAATTGGGGGGAATTATTGGGAAAAATTTGGGGAAAATTGGAAAATTGGGAAAAATTGGGGGAAAATTGGGGAAAATTGGGGGAAATTTGGGGGAAATTGGGGGAAAATTGGGGGGAATTATTGGGAATTGAGGAAAATATTGGGAAAATATTGGGGGAAATAATTAGGAATAAATTGGAGGGGATTTGGGGGATCCCAGAGGGATTTTGGGGGGATTTGGGGAGATTTTGGTGGAAATTTTGCTGCAGATTTCAGTGGAATTTGTGTGAATTTTGCTGAATATTTTGGTGGAATTTGGGTGAATTTTGCTGCAGATTTCACTGGAATTTGGGTGAATTTTGCTGTATGTTTCACTGGAATTTTGATGAATTTTCCTGTATATTTCACTGGAATTTGGGTGATTTTTCCTGTGTATTTCACTGGAATTTGGGTGAATTTTGCTGCAGATTTGGGTGAATTTTCCTGCAGATTTCACTGGAATTTTGATGAATTTTCCTGTATATTTGGGTGATTTTTCCTGCAGATTTCACTGGAATTTGGGTGATTTTTCCTGTGTATTTCACTGGAATTTGGGTGAATTTTCCTGTATATTTCGGTGAATTTTCCTGTATATTTGGGTGAATTTTGCTGTATGTTTCACTGGAATTTGGGTGATTTTTCCTGCAGATTTCACTGGAATTTGGGTGAATTTTCCTGTGTATTTCACTGGAATTTGGGTGATTTTTCCTGTATATTTCACTGGAATTTGGGTGAATTTTCCTGTGTATTTCACTGGAATTTGGGTGATTTTTCCTGTGTATTTCACTGGAATTTGGGTGATTTTTCCTGCAGATTTCACTGGAATTTGGGTGAATTTTCCTGTGTATTTCACTGGAATTTGGGTGATTTT